GGTTGTCATTGAGGGTGGAGAGGTGGAGAGGGGGGTTATCATTTAGGATGGAGAGGCGGGGAGGTGGGTTATTGTTGAGGGAGGGGGGGGGAGGTGGGTTATCGTTGAGGTGGAGGAGGATTGCGGTGGGGAGGGGGGTTATCATTGAGGGTGGAGAGGTTATTGTTAAGGATGGAGAGGCAGGGAGGGGGTTATTGTCGAGGGTGCAGAGGCGGGGGAGGGGGGGTTATTGTCGAGGGTGCAGAGGCGGGGAGGGGGGTTATTGTCGAGGGTGCAGAGGCGGGTTATTGTTGAGGGTGGAGAGGTGGTGAGTCGGTCAGTCCTGGTTGGCAATAGACTTCACAAGCATCCCTCCTCCATATTCTGCTATGGAACAATGGCTGGGAAATGCAGGAAGGGAGGGGGGGGGGGGGGTATTTTGGGTCTGCCAACCAGGAACCCCACAGCTGCCAATTACTGTCCTGCACTACTACACCCAGCAGCTCCGCCCCCCCCCCCCCCATCCCCATCTGAGAAGTTCTGCAGCAAAGTTATTAGAGGAGAAGGGAGAGGGAGCTGGGCTCAGGAAAGGACACAGTCATCGAGGGACACACACACCAATCACCTGGCAAAGCGGAGTCTCCCGTCAGCCGCACACAGAAGACCGGGGAGGGGGAGATGCACAGCACATCTCCAAGGAAGAGACTGCGGACACACTGAGCTTGGGAGGCCAGTACGAGGTCAGTCCAGGAGGGGGCATGGCCAGTAGAAGGGACACTGCAGAGAAACTTAACCCCTGCCAGCTACAAAGGTACTGGCAGGGGTCACAACTGATAGCCAAATGTACTTGCACTTATCTGCATGGGCTCAAGGGGCAGCTGCGTTGGTCCTCACAAAAATGACTGGGCCCAGGGCAGCTGCCCCTTTTGCCCCGTGTTAAAGACGGCCCTGAGTGGATGACTTCAGCAGTGCAGGGTTGGCTAAAAATACAGGTCGAAATCTTGCAAGAACTCCTAAGGTCTAAACCTCCATATTGGAGGTATTACAAGCCCATTGCCTCACAGATGCTGGAAAATGGGACCACGGGACTACAATTCTACATTAGGACTCGTTGACATAAGCAACCAAAAGGTGCTAAAATCATGTGGCCAAGTCACAGTTTTACAGATTACCTACCTGAACAAAGGACATATATCCTCTCAGGGTGGCTCTGGCAAAAATTAATCAGCATGTCTCTTTTGGCTGGTGGTACTGCTGTCAAACATGACCAATTCAATTAAATAAGGCTGTGCTGCAACTGCCGTTCCACAGCACATCTATAGAAAACTACAGGGGGATGGAGACCAACCCAGTCACCCTGCACAATGAGAGAGAGCAGCAGTGATGGCTCTGTATTATAGGAAACTCCTGTACAGAGCCAAGATTCAAGAACATGGCTCTTGTATTTAGGCAATGCATGTTTAGCCCAGATTCCAGCTTTAACAACCCCCTTTCCCAGCAGCATTTAACTCACCTTTACTCTCCACTCTAAAACAGAGTAGTAACAAAAGACCCACGTAAGTTTCAAAGCGGCTTATCAGAGGGCTATGTGCACTTCCATGGCCCAATGTGACAGTGCTGGACCAATTACAATACATTTCTGTAGTATGGAAGAGCAGGAGAGAGCGATATACAATACACATACCCAGAATCACCAAACAGTGCAGCAAGGAAAGATGAGCACATACTACTTGGGAAGCAGGGAGTTAAAGTGGAACCAAAGTCAATATTTTAAAAGCTCACAAGCAGAGAGACTATTTATCACAGAAGACACTTCTCTCTCTGCCCTTTTGCAACATATTAGGTCTACCAGTCTGCTTGTAGTCCTCTGTACCAACTCCTTACACCATCCCATGCTGGCCAATCAAGATGGCCAAAGACTTGAACTTGGAAGAAGCCAGGGAGAAGATAACGGCGCTGGAGAGGGACCTTGCGAACTTTGGACCATTGGAGAGGAGGTAAGTATTGTGGATTTTGGTTCCACTTCAAAATGGCCCTGAATAGGCAAAAAACATTTCACTTTAAGAATTTTATTTCAGAGTGAAAAATATCTGCAATTTTTGAAGGATTATTCTCTTTTCTCCATAAAAAGGAAGTAATTCCTGTGTGATTGATGAGGTCCAATGGACTATACAATGTTATGGTGAGTGTGGTCAAACCTTTATTCAAAACACCAAAGTCCTGTAATAATAATTGAACCCCAAATGAATCACAAAAACCTAAAAACTATGTTTGCAGAAAGCACAACCATCCCACAATGTATCACACCACACAAAATGTACTGGCAAGATGGAGATTTGTCACTACCCTGTTCTCCACTCTCCAGTACCTCTTCAGTTGAGCTTTTTTCATAGTAGGAAGTGTTATAAGCTATGAATTGGGAGGGGTGCTCAGCATTGAAGCCTTGCTCTAAGGTTTGCATGGGGCAACATGCCCTAATGCTTATCCCTCAACAACGCTTAAAGTGTATTTCTATCTTTGCAGCAAAATTTGTGAAACCCTCAATATAGGTTTGTGATGCGTTCCAAGTTACACAGCATACCTAAAAATAATTAATTAGGAAATAATTGAAATATAATTTGGAAATGAATACATGATTTTAAATTTTGCCCTAGTCGTGATTTTTGCATATTTTTCACAAAATGATTCAGATAATCAAACAAATTTTAATATTACACAAAGATAACCTGAGTAAATACAAAATGCACTTTTCAAATGAGGATTTAATTTATTAAAAAAAGCGGTCCAAACCTGCCTGGCCCTATGTGAAAAAGTAATTGCCCCCCCCCCCCCGTTTTTACTAAATCATGAATGAGCTATGATTAACCATATTTTTTGCACAACAGAGTTAAATTTGACTTGCCACACCCAGGCCTGATTGCTGTCAGACTAGTTGAATCAAGAAATCACTTAACCTCCCTGGCGGTATTCCCGAGTGTAGCTCGGGGTAAAGTTTCAGTACCACAAGCAGTAACCCTGAGCAACACTTGGGCTTACCATGCGGCGCTGCTCCGGAATCTGTTAATCTCTTACCTTGTCCTGCGCTCCCGCGATGTCCCTCCTACAGTGTCCCCTGAAAGGTCCTCCGACGGATGCCGGCATCTGTCATCTGGGTTCCGGTCCCTGCGATGTCAGGACATACAGGGGACGGAACTGGCGGGAAATTTGAAAATGACAAAAAGTGACATTCACCAAATACACTAAAAATCACATAGTATAACATTACTGTATCAAACCATTTCACATACATTTTGTCCCTGGTGTATTGTCCTGTGCCCTGCCTGCATTTTCACTGTTCTTTCTGCCTGGAAACTGAGAAATGTCCATGGCATCCAAAAAGCATCCCTTTAGGTCAAAAGCGGTTTTAGACCAGCTAGAGAACGGCTAGAGTAAATCAGAACCACTTGCAGAATTGAGTGATAATGATTTGAGGGAAATTCATCATCAGACACTGAAAACGATTTTGCGACTTTGCTCAGTGATGTGCGAACTTGGCGCTATATTTCAAATTTCAGTGTTTTTGGTTTGATTATATTATTGAATTCATTTATTATTATATTATTTTTTATGATTATTTATTAAACTATAACTTATGATTTCGTGCATCAAATTGTAACATACCTGGGATGTTTACTAGACTCTTGTTCGGACAGATTTCAGTGAGTTATTCCTAAAAATTACAGGCCTACCACAAAAAAAAAAAAAAAAAAACATATTTCCATGCAAAAAAATGTACCGCTTTGAGCACAGACATATGGACATAATCAGACCGCTAGGGAGGTTAAAATATATCTGATAAAATAAAGCTCGCTAAAAGATCTCCAAAAGCAACACATGCCGCTATCTAAAGAAATTCAGGAACAGATGAGAAACAAATTAATTGATGTATCAGTCTGGAAACGATTACAAAGCCATTTCTAAGGCTTTGGGACTCCAGCGAACCACAGTAAGAGCCATTATCCACAAATGGAGAAGACTTGAAACAGTGGTGCCCCTTACCTGGGAGTGGCCCACCTCCCATATTACTCCAAGAGTACAACAAATCATCCAAGAGGTCATAAAAGAACCCAGAACAACATCTAAAGACCTGCAAGCCTCACTTGCATCAGTTAAGGTCAATGTTAATGATTCAACATTGGGCAAAAATGATGATGAGAGTTCTAAGGCAAAAGCCACTGCTGACCAAAAAGAACACAAAGGCTTGTCTCACATTTGCCAAAAACATCTTGACTATCCCCAAAACGTTTGGGCAAATATTCTGTGGACTAATGAGACAAAAGTTTTTGGAAGGTGTGCGTCCTGTTATATATGGCATAACACTAACATGGCATTTCATCAACATCATATCAACAGTCAAACATGGTTGTGGTAGCTGGATGACTTGCTGTAATTGATGGAACCACAAATTCTGTGCTCTACCAGAAAATCCTGAAGGATACTGTCTGCCCATCAGATGTGACCTCAAGCACAAGAGCGCTTGGTTTATGCAGCAGGACAATGGTCTGAAACACATCAGCAAGTCCACCTCTGAATTGCTAAAAACAAAACAAAAAACAAAATTAAGGCTTTGGAGTAGCCTAGTCAAAGTCCAGACCTAAATCCGATTGACATGATGTGGCATGGCACTAAACAATAGGACAAAATTCCACCACAGCGATGTAAAAGACTTATTGCCAGTTAACGCAAATGCTTGATTGCAGTTGTTGCCGCCAAGGGTAGCACAACCATTTATTAGGTTTAGGGGGCAATTACTTTTTCACATATAGCCAGGCATGTTTGGATAGCTTTTTTCCCTTAATAAATGAAATAATTTATAAAATACATTTTGTATTTACTCAGTTTATATTTGTGTAATATTAAATGTGTTTGTTTAACCGCCTCCCACCCGCCATATATTAATATGACGGACGCAAGGTGGTTCTCTCGTTCTGGGAGGACTTCCTCCCATTCTAACCGCGCATGTGCGGCTCCCGCAGCGTGGCGATCAGCGGTGCGCTGAGTCCCTCAGACACAGCGGATCACCGATCCACGGAAAGAGCCGAAGATGTCGGCTCGGTCATGTGATCAGCTGTGTCCAATCACAGCTGATCACATGTAAACAGGGAAATGCCAGTTATCGGCATTTCTCTCCCCACGAGTTGTCACGCTGACAGCTCGTGAAGAGAGGTGAGCTGGTAATCGGCATTCCCCGGAGGGAACATCTACACTGATCATCAGGGCACTGATTATCGGTGTGCCCTGATGATCTGTGTAGCCCCAGCAGCGCCACCTGTCAGTGTTCATCAGTGCCAGCGCTCAGTGCTCATCCATGCCACCTGCCAGTGCCCATCTGAGCTGCCTTTCAGTGCCACCTATCAGTGCCGCCAGTCAGGGCCATATATGAATGCTGCCTTTCAGTGCCCATCAGTGATGCTTGTCAATGCCACCTACCAGTGCCTCCTTATCAGTGTCCATCAGTGCAGCCTATCAGTGTCCATCAGTGCAGCCTATCAGTGTCCATCAGTGCAGCCTATCAGTGTAGCCTATCAGTGTCCATCAGTGCAGCCTATCAGTGTCCATCAGTGAAGGAGAAAAATCACTTATTTACAAAATTTTATAACAAAAACTAAGAAAAAACTTCTTTCAAAATGTTCAGTGGTTTTTGGTTTGTTTAAAAAAAAAAAAAAAAAAAACCCCAGAGGTGATTAAATACCACCAAAATAAAGCTCTATCTGTCACAAAAAATGATACAAATTTCATATGGGAACAGTGTTGCATGACCACGCAATTGTCATTCCAAGTGCAACAGCACTGAAAGCTGGAAATTGGCTTGGGCAGGAAGGGGGAATAAGTGCTCTGTAGGCTAGTGGTTAAAGGGCTTGTTCATACCAAACACTCCTATAGCTTTAGTATGGGTGTTAGCCAGGCATTAATAAGCTTTAGACTGGCTTTTTACAAGCATTAAAAACACTCCCCAAATGCCCTTTGTGCAGTTTTGAAGCGTTTTATAAGCATTTGACAAGCTTTAAAATACACCACATCTAAATAAACTGTAAATGTTAGTAACACTCTGAAACTGCACTGCAAATGCCTGCCAGTGCGTTTGAGGAGCATCACCACAGACTTGAATGGGAGGCGTTGAAAGGCTTCAAATGCCTCCTGACTCAACATAAGGCTTCAATTTTGAAGCAACTCGATGCTAACGCTTCAAATTTTGATAATGTGAACAGCACTGTGTGCTGGCCATAGTATCATTTGCGTAGGCATTTGAGGAGTGTTAAAACCGCCCTTCAAAGTCTACTTTCAAAACCAGTGTGAACTAGGCCTTGACTAGTGACAAATATGTAAAAAAAACAAAACACACAAGACGGGGGGTAAATACCTTTTCACAGCACTGTACACCAGTAAGCAGTGTCATCTGCCTAGCTATGCTGTGTGATTTTGACTGATATAAAATGAAAATCCTTAGGCAGGAAAATCCGCTCCATTATTAGCATTTCATTTGTGTATTTAGTTTTTATCCTGGAGTTTGAAATCAATAGATGCTGAAATACATTCTGAAATAGCCATCTTGCAATGTAGACAGTACAGCTTCAGGCTCCCACAGGGGCCAGTCACACAGCCAAATGCCTTGAAATTTGGTCACATGACTTCTGCAGAACAGTTCAGATCCTTCATCTAACCTTCATCTGCAGTCACATGACCAAACATACTGCAAGCCCAGAGCAGCATTTGTGCAAGTTGGTTATTTTAGTACAGTCTTATTTATGGAAGTTGGAGGGCCGGAGAATGAGTTATTTAAAGTGGGTGTAAACATTAGACATGAAATATGAACAAAGCATATTCCTCTATAGTGTCTACTTGTCTCAGTTAAGAGCACCAAGTGTGATTTCTGGCTGCTACTTTATTCCTCTGCTATCAGCATGAATCACTTCTGACAAGTTTTCCTGACACCAAGAGAAAAACGGTGACAGGGAGGGACCAACAGCAGATTGATCGCCTTAGCTCTGTTCCTGTGAGCTGTGTGAAGTAGGGATGTGTCTCTGCCCTCCAATCAGCTCTCAGAGCTCTCCTCAGTGAGCTCTGCAGTGTGTAATTTCAGCTCTCTGTCACCTTTTTTTTCTGAACGCTCAGACGAGCTTTATAAATTCTGGACTTTGAACAGATTTAGAAAAGAGAAGATTGCAGATAAACAGGTATCATTTATGTAGAAGAATTTGTTTCATCTCTGTGTCTCACCTGAGGCCGATCACTTCGATGGGTATATGTAAGGGTTTACAACCACTTTAATTATAGTTGTGCTTTAAATGGAATGGCCAATCTACTCTCGTACAGTTCCTGCACCAGGACCTGTAATTCCAGGTTTCAATTAAAAGCTCTACCAGATAAAACCTGGTTTCACTGCCTTTATAATGACTTTTTCCCACCAACCACTGTACACCATAGTGGAATGAGAGTCTGGCTCACAGGGTGGCTGTAACAGGAAAGACTTCACTGAACTGATGGATCAGAAACAGATGGGGGATTACTACCAAGCTGAAGATCCTCTTTGAAAAGGAGGATTCCATGAAAATTGGAATTATGGTGGTCATATATGGAACAATTTTATATACAATAAATATCATATTGTCGACAGATTTACTGTCTGATCAGAAGATTGAAAAACACTGTTTGATAATCCACTAATGTATCGAATTATGTTCTTTCTACGATCATTTTGTCTGTCCAGACTGAGAGTAATTTTGACAACTGGTACTAGTGGCTGTCAGAACCCAATAGCCGGGAAAGGGGAGAGTTCACTGGCAGCTCCTAAATGCGAGAACCAATCACAGTGGTCACATGATAAACTACACTGCGATGTGAAGGAGTTATTGATGCGGTCTTGAATAGATACTTTCAAGTAAAGTGTAAACAAACGCGTTATCTCTTAAGCCTGGTACACATGGGTCTGAATAATAGTTGGTTCAACAGAGAGCTGTCGACATTCAGCCCATGTGTAGAGTAACCTGTTCAACAGAAGGTGGTCTATTGACTGGCTTTTATCAAACGGGCATGCTAGCAAACCAGCATCCGATCAGCGCTCGCAGCCAATGGCTGTGAGCTCTGATCAGTGTGCTCTGAGGGGAGGGGGCAGTCCGCCTGTCAAAACATAATAGCTCAATGGGGGAGATCGCTGCACTAAGGGCTCGTTCACACTTGACTGTTTTACCAACGCTTGCCAAACGCCCCTATAGCCTTTGGCAAGCGTTGGTCCAGCGTTTGCGCGGTTTAGCGGCGGTTGCTAGGCGTTTGCAGAGCGTTAAAAACGCCCCACAAATGCCTAGAATTAAGTTTAATGGAGTTACCGCTCCGCAAACGCCCCGCAACCGTGCCGCAAATGCCGGCCGGGCGTTTGCGGAGCAGCACCATAGCCAAGAATAGGAGGCTTCAACGAATCTTGACTCGTCCAGAGGCGTCCGTTTTGCCGCGCCGCTACCGCTCCCGTCAGAACAGCACCATGTGTTTGCAATGTGCAGAATTGCCAGAGGAGTTTGGGAAGTGGTAAAAACGCTTCCCAAACGCCTCTCTGCCGCCTGCACACAACGCTAGTGTGAACGTAGGCTTACATTGCTTAATTATTGCTGTGACCTTTCAGGCTTTTTTTCCCCCATTCAGCCCACTAGGACGAAAAAAAAAAAAAAAAAACTCCCTGTGTGCACCAGGCATTAGCTGACCATACACTGTTAAGCCTGCCATAGATGGATCAAAATTCAGCCAGTTCAGCAGGAAAAAAACAAATCCATCTATGGGCAGGCTGGTTGTACTGATGTCAATCTATTGATCAACTTCAGTACAACCAGCCTGTCAGACTAAAAAAAAACAAAAACAAAATCTAAACAACTTAAAGTTGTTACTAGAGTTAAGCTGGCCATAAATGGATTAAATCTTGGTCGGTTCAACAAGGACAAGATTCGATCCATCTATGGGCAGACTGGTTGTACGAAGTAGATCCATCAACTGACTTCAGTACAACCAGCCTATGTTTTGTTTTTTGGTACGATCACTGCCGCTGCCCATAGCTGGCAGCAGTGATCATTTTTTCATGACAGAAGGGAAACCTTCTGCTGCCAGAATACAATAGCATCAAGAGGAGAAAAGCAGTGCCATCTAAGTGCAGCAATAAAAACAAATACATTTATTTCCACAAAATTGGCAACTCACAATAGTAGTAATCAAATGAGCGCTTGTCAAAATGGTGTCAACCGCTGTGCAACTGCTGATCGGTTCCGCTGCAAGCAAGTCTCCAATGCATTGTCCTTGGCTGTGCTGGTGGCTCCCAGCGCTTCCTGGTCGATGTGGATCCACAGGGCAGGCGGGAGTGACGTCAGCTCCAGGTACAGCAGCAGTAGGCTTGTGCGGTTAATATACTAGCCATCACATAATACATCTGATCTTTTTCGTCTTAGTATGCCAAATATCTCTCTTGTTCCAGAATACAATAGCACAATGGGAGGGATTCCCCCATCCACAGTGACTGCGTTGATGGGGAAATTGAGTGGTTTTCTTTCCTTCAACCCGTGATTGAAGGAAAGAAAAATTCATAATGTATGGCCAGTCTTAGATTTTTGTTCGGATGCTTGTAGAAAAATCGTTCATCAAAACATTCTAGAATTCTTTCCATCTATGGGCAGGCTGGTGACTTGGGTACAACCAGCCTGTCGAATTTTTGCATGTGACTACTGCCGACAGCTATAGCCCCTAGCAGTGATCATGTTCTGCTGGCAGGGAAGGGTCCTGTCGGAGGGATTCCCCCAGCAACACAGTCAGTGTTAAATCGGAGAACCAATCAATTTTGGTTGCAGGAAAGAAAATCAAATCATCTATGGCTTGCCTGTCATCCTTCTAGGTACACAAAAAGGAAAAGGCTTTCTCCATATTTATATATTTTTAAATTAGATCCCTTGCTTAGAACACCATGGTAGAAGGGGCTGCTGTGGGCTAAACAAAGTTCATTCAGTCAAGAGAGGCCAAACATGAGTCACTTTTTTTTGTTCAACAACGAGCCAATTCCCCCATCCACACATTTGATGTGGATGGGAGAATCTTCCCACTGTGCAATTGTATTCTGTCAGTGGGGAGCCTTCCCTGCCAGCAGAATACAATGTAACAAGAATTAAAATTGAAGCTCCAAACCACTGATAAGAGGTACAGCTACGGCTTTATTCCAGTAAATGTGAGCGGTACAATCCGAAAAAGTAGCCAATATGATTCAGGGATCCAAGCGCCCCCTTCATCAGGTTTTTCTAGCGTGAATTACAAGCACAAGTCCTATCAGCAGCTTGTTTGGCAGCTAGCAGAATACAAAGATCAGTGTTGCCAGTGGCACTGATTATTCAGGAAAAATCTGGCAGGTTGGTTGTACATGTTGTTTGAACAGGGGCGGACTGACCATTTGGAAACTCGGGCCCAGGGTCAGTAGGGGGCCCCATGAGATGCCCCTGGTACCTTTTTCATAGGCTTTTTTGAGCTTGGGCAAGGACACAGGGGCCCCATGATCCCCTATTGCCCGGAGGCCCCATGAGTTGTCAGTCCGCCCCTGCGTTCGAAA